AGTTAATAATTTAGGAGAAAATTTTAATGCTTAAAGTGTCACTTAAAACCCCTAACCAAATTACTAAACTATAATTGGAACAGTAAAATGCATATATGTAACTATCATGATGTAAAATGCTTAAACCACTGCTGCTTAATACTAATCAAACGTGGCTGCTGATGAAATAAATCAAACATGAATTATTATACAGCCCCTTTGTAACATGCTGCATGTTTTTTAAAACATTTCTGTGTTTCTGTTTGTTCCACTGCTGGTATTTGGAATGTAATTTAACAATTCCCACACATGGTTTGGTATAAATTCTGTTATTGCCTTTTAGGGATATAAATAGACATTTTTTTTCTATGTTTAAAAAAAATTATTTTAGGGCACCCCTATTCGGAATGGTGTAGATGGAACTGATGACTAATAAGAAAATATTACAAGAGCACAGAGAAGGGCTGACATAAGTAAGGATGAATCTCCCCAAGCTTCCATACTAAGGGAACAAACTATTCAAGTTTGGAAGAAATATATTTTGTCCCTGACAGTGGATGGATCCTGATGTATAAGGTAATGTGTTCCCAACCCCAATTACCACAACAACAAAAAAAAACGGAGTAAATAATGCAGTAGTACTAGTTTTGAGGTCAGGGAGACAGGCCATTTGCTGTGTCTTTGCATAAATGACTAAAATTTTTTTGAAACATCATCCCATGATAACAAAGACCACTTATTAAGGCTGTGGCAAGGGAGATTAATTATTGGATGCCTATATGCCAGGTGCTTTACAAATGTTAATGTTGCCTGGGCAATAGTAATGACTCTATTAGTAAACACACACACAAGACATGCACACACACTTTTCTGATTATAAGAGCATAGTTTCACCATTTAAAAAAAATAGATGTATAAAAAGATAAAAAATAAAATGACCCATAATTCAGCCACCATTAAGATGTTATTCTTTTATACAGGTGTTTATAAGCATGTACTTATTGATATTGTACTACATTCATGGCTTTGTAATTTCACTTTTGTTCCCAGTTGTAATGTGAATATTTTGCATAAATATTCTTACAGTGTAAATATTTTGAGTAAATATTCCCCAAGAGCATAAGCTGTGGCATCATCTTGTCATATAAATCATTTAATCATTCTCCTACTCTCAGACATTTGTTTCTCAATGTTCCACTCTTTTAAAGTTATTTGCACATAAAGGTACATAAGCAGCATGTCATTCTGTTTTGCATCTCTTTGACTAACAGCCCAAATCATTAATTTGTTCTGTGATATTGGCCCTTTGGACTTCTGTGATTGATTTGTTCTTTGACTTAAATAATGCTTCTTGTAATATTCATAAACAATTCTAGGTCCATGGTCTCCTTTGCTTTCTCCTTGAATTCTTAAGGAGCTCTGACAGGCAGGAAAGCACGGTGTGCTCTGCTTCCCTTCCCTCAGCTGAAATTCTCTTTAGAAAGATAGTAGTCAGAACAATGGCCAGGGTTCTGAGTGCCCAGGTCTGGCCCACAGTCTTTCCCAAACACCTCCTGTGAGCTCTGTCTAGTCCTGAATCGCTGAACCTGGTGGAGGCAGCCTCTGGCAGCAGGGAGTTTATAGAGTGTCTGTGTTTGCATCTCAGTATCACTGTGGAACACAATTTAAGAAACCACTTACATTAACAATCCATCACAGATCCTATTTTGTTTTTCATTGCAATTCACATTTGCATTTGACTTACTGTAAATGTAAAACCTCAGCTAAAACTTGTGAAAATTTTCTAAATTCCTGATAATTCAGAAGTATTCTGAATGTGCTTAAAAAGGTCTCGAGTTAGAGCCTGGCCAACATGGTGAAACCCCATCTCTACTAAAAATACACAAATTAGCTGGGCGTGGTGGCGCGCATCTGTAATCCCAGCTACTCAGGGAGGCTGAGGCAGGGGAATCACTTGAACCCGGGAGCAGAGGTCGCAGTGAGCCAAGATCATACCACTGCACTCCAGCCCGGGCAACAGAGTGAGACTCTGTTTCAAAATAAAATTTTAAAAATAAAATAAAATAAAATAGGTCTCGGGTTGAATTTATCATTACCTCTACAGATTATGTGATAGTGGCCTAATTTTCATTTAGCTGTCATTAAAAACAAATCTTAACACACATGAACATTTGTCAAGGAAGAATGGTTTTGGAAGCAAGTTCACCTGTGGTCTCAAATGTCTCCTTCCTGCCCACTGGCTCTCTTACAGTGCTTTGTTTGGGATCCCTCTTGTTGTGTTGCAATTTGATCTCCTCAATTGCAGGGCCTCTGTCTTAACCCATCTCCTGCCACAAGATCGAAACCAGAGCTGTGCACAAAACGGGCATTTCAACCATGTTTCTTGCGGGGAATAGTTACCTTTCACTTTAATAGACTGACATTTGAGATATACTTTTGCTACAGAAAGGATTTGTTCTGTAATCACTTAAAATATAACCAAAGAAGGATTATTCATACTCAAAATGGATGTCTGAATGAATTCATGTGAGGATTAATGGATAGTTTTGAGATCTGGAAAACAGTAATACCATTTTTAAGGCTGAGTAATACCATTTTTAAGTGACTGTGAGGAACTGTTTCTTCCTCTCTGATCTTTGCACAGAAAAGATGCTAATTTGAGAGCTGTGTGTATGGAGGGCGGGGGGCGGTGAGAGGATTAATCAATGAGGAAAAGGCTCCTCTGCATGACTTAGATTCCTCCTTAGCGACTCCTTGGCAAGAAATGGTAGGAAACCAGCAATAATAGGAATGAAACTGGAGGTCATTATGTTATGTGAAATAAGCCATGCACAGGAAGGAAAATGTTGCACCTTCTCACTCATGTGGAAGATAAAAAAGAAATGCTCTTACAGAGGTAGAGAGTATAATAGTGGTTACCAAAGGCTGGAAAGGGTGGTGGGGAGGCAGGAATAAAGAGGAGATAGTTAATGGGTATAAGAATACAGTTAGAAGGAATAAGACCTAGTGTTCAGCAGCACAGTATGGTGACTATAGATAATAATTTACTGTATATTTCAAAATAACCAGAAGAGTAGATTTGAAATATTCCTAGCACAAAGAAATGATAAATGTTTGAGGTGATCGATATCTTAATTACACAGATTTATTACAGTATATGTTTGTATCAAAATAATACAGGTATTTCATAAATATGTATATTATGTATCCATAAAAATTAAAAAGAAAAATTTAAAGAGAGAAACTGAAAATGTCAAGTAGAACATATTAGATTTGATCTATCCAAGAGAATGGTATGGAAGGAAAAGCCTGGACAGGAATTTGAATGTTAAAGGTAGACTTCAGAAAGGGAGATCTTATGGTTTGAGGTTCTAAAAGGGACAGTGGCCTTAGGATAGTTGAAAGGCCTCAAAATTAAATTCTAAGAACCTATGGTAGAAAGCAGAGTACTTAATACCTTATGTGGCTAACGAGGCAGTTTGTTCTTGAATAAAATAATAAAAAACCAGGTTTTCGAGGGAAATGAAGGCATGCAACCAAACAAGAATAAACATAATATAGAATCCAAGATGAGAATACTGCAAGGGAGCTAAAGCCCAGAATGAAATAAAACTGAAGAGGAAATGTCAAAGGAGACTGGTAGGTTCAAAGGAAGATAATAAACAGGGAATGCAAGGGAAGGGCTCAGCACTGCAGTGGATGGGATGATGTTAAAAATCCCTTAGGGTTCCTAAGCTCCGTGAGGCAGAACCTGTATCATTATTACCTTTGTACACCCAGCAGCCAGCATAGAGAGTAACACAGGTAACACATCCCACCAAACTTACTTAAACCAAGTTAACACAGGAAGAAAGAAGTCAATTCTTTAACTCCCGCTTAATTGTCTTTTCTGTAGGGACAAAATATTTTCAGAACGGAAAATGTGCAACAGACAGCATAAATGAAGAAACTGAAACTGCTACACTTGATGACAAAATTAAAAGGGACATTTTTTAGTATGAGAAAGTATTTGCTAATGATAGATGGCAGAAGGCAGATACCAGGAACTCTTCAGCCGGCCTGTGCACTGAGAGAACTGGGTAGAGCCATGGGAATTTCACAACGTTGGGCAGGAGGGAAGAGCCTGGACTCTTTGGCTCCCAGGTGTGTTGGCCTGATATCAATCTGTGAGGTGGGAATCTCTTAGCAGGACCCCCGACTCCTCACTTTGCCGAAATTTTATTTTTTCCTTTTTGTCCAATGAATTCCATTCCCCACACAATTCAATGTGTCCGTGTGCCTAAATTTTCCTGGTCCCGACACAAGAACCCAGATTTAGCTGACCTAAGGAGCAAAATTCTGCAACACTAACAACTCAGATGGCCTTAAAGTGCATACAGGTGTCTTAAGAGGTAACAAATGCCATTATCAAACTTATTAATAAAATTTCCCTCCTTTTCCAGAATTCATGTAACCATTTTGGATTAATAACATATCACTGCATCAACTTTTTTGTAGCTTTTTATCTATCATAACTATCACGTGACTAAACGAGAAAACTGAAAAACAATATATTCCTTAATCCTTTTGTTCCTAAAAATTATGTAAAATTTCACTAAACACCTTTCTTGCCTCGAGCTATTTTGTATATATAATGCTTAAAAACAATAAAACAAAATAATTAAAATTACAAGTTTTCTTCCTTGTACAGCATTCTAAATCCAAGGTGTTAATGTTTCTTTAAATATCCATAAACCATTATCCAAATATTCTAAGATAAAGCAGATATTTTATCACAATGGAAACTGAAGTACTAGTTCACTTAGTGAATCTATGAAGACACAACAACAAAATACTTACCAACTCCTACTCAGTCAGGGCTTGGGGTGTGAGGATGTGTGCGAAGAAGGCAGCATGTAAAATAAAGTATCAGAATTGGGAAAAAAAAATAAGCAAATGAACAGTATCTTAGATCTTTGTGGGAAAAAAGATACCAAAGAAAAAGTAAACATGGGAGTCAATGTTGAGAAAGACAAGAGAACTTTTATAATTATGAACTTTATTTACTATGCCAACATTTTCAGGAGAGACTTTACATCTGTTTTTTAGAATTCATTTTACAGGCAAATTCTAATATACAGTTTATACTCTGAACTGACTTTTAAAATCAATGGGAAAAACAATATTGCAGACATTATTTTTGCTCTTTGTTAGTAATGACTTAAGAGACCTTAAATTCTTAGGGTCAGTATTATTTTGTTAAGTAAATGCTTTAGCAAGGAGAAAGTGGGTAAGCTTATTCCCAACAAGATTAAAACATGTATCTTCAGTTAATGACATAGCTGTAGATTGGCGCCCACCATCAGAATCATTTATCCAAAAGAATTCTTTCAAATTGCTGCAGCAAAAAACTTAAAGGGAGATGTGAAAGATCATTAGAAAATAGAATTCAAGCATCAGAATTTAAAAAGTAACAAGGCCATCATCTCCAAGGAAGAACATCAGGTATCACATCTATAATTAATTTTCAAATGTGTGCATAAGCATGCAAACATAACTAATGTTTCCTAAATATAGGAAATATAGCCAAACTAATTTAAAAACACAAAAACTACTGTGTAAGATGGAAAGTAAACTGAAACGGTGCTGCAGTCTTAATTGATCTTAATTGCAAGCCTATTTGGTGATTTCAAAGTACATCCCCAGTGCCCTAGAGGCCAGGAAACCAGTATGACAACCCTGCTCAGAAACCAAGAGAGCACCTCAGTGTCTGTAATACCATTTATGCTACAGGAACATTTGGAAGTGACAGCTGTAGAAGGGTCACACTCTGTGATGCACTGAGAAAAAGTAAGTAAAATACTTATTGAGACAATGGAACATTCAATGAAAACTTAGTGCTTTAAGGGGAAAAGTGACATGCTGGGAATATATTTCTGTGAACAGCTGTACTGATATCTTCAAACAGCAACAATTACAAATTTATTTCAATGAACAAAGCCACACCCAATAGGAGGCATTTCGATATTTCAGGCACAACTTCAAGCAATTAAGCTCATTTAAAGTGCAAATCTGGTATTTTCTTTCATATGCAGATTTTTACTTGTTAAAGTACTTAGTAAATTCCCTAATATCTATATAAATACAATGAACAATAGCCTACATGCCTGAAAATATTGCACAAATAAAAATGAGACTCCAAAAAAAAATGCTAGATGGTCTCCATTATTAGAAACAGTCTAAATGACATAACTCTATAATCCTTTAATGCCTTAAAATCATCTGCACCTGTACCAATAAACTCCTTAGGCCAAACTCTTCTTTTAAAAATTTGATTTGCATCCCATTAATAGCCAAATATCTAATTCTACATACTCTACTAATTTCCTCTTTCGCAAATGTGAAACTTAACCGACTCCATAAAATTTCTTCCTCGGGACTTAGAATGCATACACTGTAACTATCTTCACTGATATCACTAGAACTAAGACAATAAATGGTTTTGAGTTCCTGTGGAGGAGGATTTGGCACAGAGTTGATTTACATTAATAGAAATAATAAACACAGATCAAGCCAAATCTAAGATGATATTTGATTATTCAGTAAAGTTACATCCTCACTTCCATTTTGGACTTAACATTTACTAAGAAGCAGACAAGCATGATATTCTTGCAGTTTTTAAGGAAAACTGCAGGCAAATACTTTGTCATGCAAGCATCCTAGATTTGTTTTCTCTTACTATATTATGCTTCATAAATATACTGATGAGCCTATCTTCTAAAAGATTAATACTCAACAAAGGTACAGAGAAGTAGAGCTAATTGGTTAACATTTGTGCAAATCCATCAGGGAAGGAAAAAACAGAGAAAATGGAGTAAATACATGGAAGAAAAAAGAGAAAAACAAATTACTGGAGTCAACATTTTTACGCAATGGACAACAAAGACATTTCCCTCGAACTAGGGGGTTAAAAATTTAGGACTTTTCCCTTACGGATAAGGCCAACTAGTAAATAATGTTTCATAAGGGTCTAAACCAAATTCTACATAAACAAAAACCACTAAGTCTGGTACATTTTACTTAAGGGAAATATAGTATGATTCACGTATTTGCAATATGTGAGAACGGTTTTCTTTCTCCTTCAAAAAGATAGACCATGTATGCCCACTTACAACTGCAGCCCATTATGGGTCATCTCGATGAACAAGTAAGTGCTTTGCTGATTTGCCTGACTCTAACAGTAACTGGACTATGTAAACAACATTTGGAACTGTTTCTCCAACAGAAATGCTGGCATATGAGTGTATAATAACAGATTTGTTTTGCTCACCTGTTACCAAATCCAAAAATGGTTTCCATCCAGTGAATGGCAAATTCATCTAATAGGTAAGGGAATAATGGGTCAAAACAGTAGCAAACACTTCTTTCAAATTTCTACTAAAAGATTTGCTGTTGCTTTTCTTATAAAGGGGCATATTTCATCAACATACATCTTTTAAAGGAATCTGTAGAAAATTTCAGTGACTTTTTGGCCGTAATCCTGTTTGATACATTTTTGGTCAGCTGTTCAAAACAAACCTGCACCTTGTAAGGTTACCTATCTGAAAGATATTAATTCATTTAAAGCAGCTGCAGGTGAACAACCTAAAGATGACATGATTTGGTAGAAGAGGAAGGCAGATTCACTGAACTGACAAGTGGCCAAAGCATGATTAGGTTTGTGCACGTGGTTGCGTGGAGGTTCCATACCTACCTTCTACAGAGCATTAAAATAAATAAGAATGCTGTCTTTGAAATACCTTCCAGCGCCTTTTTAATAAAACAAAATTTCCCATCTTTAATTCTGTTTTCTTCCCAAATCTATCTTCAAAAAATTGTCTTTTAAAATACACCACAGATGAGGCAAGCGGATCTTCTAAGGTCAGGAGTTTGAGATCAGCAACAAAGTGAAATCCCATCTCTACTAAAAACACAAAAAAATTAGCTAGGCGTGGTGGTGCATGCTTTGCAGTCCCAGCTACTCGGGAGGCTGAGGCAGGAGAATTGCTTGAACCTGTGAGGCAGAGGTTGCAGTGAGCCGAGATTGTGCCACTGCACTCCAGTCTAGGCAATGGAGCAAAACTCCGTCTCAAAAAACAAACAAAAAACCAAAAACCACAGAAAAGGGAAACCTAGGAAATTCATAAGGGAAAAAAGTATTATGAACTCCAGCTTTCTCAAGATAGTCTTATATGTGTTATTTTTCTCAAAATATTTTAACTTGTTTTGCTATAGAAAATAGTTTAAAATTCCTATATATGGGATATTTATATGCCATCAAAGTTTTGTGCAAATGTTTCAAGTCAATTATTTCAGTCTTCAGATAGTAGCAGAAAATCAATAAATATAAACATTACAATTAAAGACATAATTTAAAATATATGCTGTGGAAACTTAAAATAGCTATCATGGATCCATAAGCCTATAGGGTTCAAAACTGAATTACCAGCAAAACTCTAGCACCAACATAAGTTACAAATGAATACATCTTTAGGTACAGGTTTCAAGATGTATCTCAAGCTCTCCTAAATTTACCCAGTAACAAATACAAACATAAATGGTATGTGTGTGTAGATGTGCATATGTTTGTGCATGTACATGTGCATGTGTTTGTAAAACAAGATGTAAAGCAATATATAACTGATTTATATGTAATAAGAAGCATTTTCAGCCTTGGGAATCTGTCTGGGAAATGAATAAATAGTAACATTAGCTTGCTGACCCTGGCAAGGAAAAACAAAACTTACATAGACTTTCCATTAAAAGCCTAATCTTCTTTATTCATCACAAAGCTTTTGCATAGACCTTTTAAATATACAAAACACTGGCCAGAACTCTGCTTACAGATTATCATCTTCCATTATCACCATATCTTTAGTTAAAATAATAGCCATATTCACAGGAGAGACAAGTGAAAAGGGGTGAGGTTCTGAAAACCACAATAAATACAGACCTTAACAGGACTAAACCAGCAAAGCACACTTCTTGCCTGCTCAGTAAAATATGAATTTTCTGAAGTGGAGAGGGATGGATAACATGATTGGGGCCTTTGGCAGGCCTCTGAAATGGGTAAGCAAACCTTTGTGTTTACCTGAGATAATTATGCTCAAATGGCATGTACTTCAACCGGGATATCAAATGGAAGAGCCAAACTAGTAGAAGCTTCTACATTTTAATTTAAGATTTGCAGGCTTTAAATGGAACCTCCACCACGGTAGCAAGCTGCACATAAAGCTATTACAGATTAAAAACAGATTGTTTTTAAGGAACAAATTGGCAGGTGATGGCTATGTACTTAATGTATCTTTGGTTTAGGAAGACGAGAATATCGATTAGAGGCCAAACAATCCCCAGAATGCAAATTGCCATTTGGATTCTGCATGATTTCTTTTCGTTGCATTAGTGGCCTTGGGATGCTTGTCTTGGCCTGGAAACTTTGAGGCTCTAGTTGGGGGTTGGTTGGTTGTTTTTGTTTGAAAGAGCCTGAGGGGGGGCGGAGCTTAGATGCTTTCAAATTCTGATTATTTGAAAGATTTGTTTGACTAGATGTTGGCTGAAGTTTTGCTGAATTACATGTTGTGATTATTGGTGACTTTTTACAAGTGGGAGTCCTACTTGGAGATGATTCAGAAACTGGAGGCGGCACCAAAGAACTCAATACGGATGGCTTTAAAAGCTGCAAGGACTTGGGCTGAGACATACAGCCGACTGATGGAGACTGATTGCTTCCAACTCTCTTAGCCTGGTCTACTGTACTTGACTGGGGAGGTGTCTGAAGAGAAGTGGGTATAAACTGCATGTCACTAGTTTGATTATTTGCCAAATGATAAGGCTCTTGAGCATTTACAGTCATGTTTAAGTTTGCTTCAGAAGGTGTACTCTTAGCCGCATCCATTAATTGTGGGCTTGATGAAAAAGACTGGTCTTCCGAACCACAGTTGCTTTCTTGTTGCAAGATGTGTGTAAAGCTTTCTTCCATATGTGCAACGCCCTGATGCGTGTCTTGAATTGAGGATTCACTGTGGGCCTCGATATGTTGCGGCTTTATTAGTTTTCCCTGGGTGTGGTCTGTGGGTCTGGGAAGGCTGCTGGAAGGCTGTAGTACTTGAGGCTGTTAAAATTAAAAACAACATTAGCAACAAGTTATCTTAGAAATTTCACCCAGATTTAATATAAATACCAATTAAGCTGTGTTGGTACTTATTATGGCTTTAATATGGAAAATATGTGGAGTTTCTTTTATTTAAAAAATGAACTGTAATATTCAAGCAAATTAGACACAAACAAGAGTGATAATGCAAACAAAAAATGATACAGGCAGTAAACACTGAACAAGATCCAAAATTAAATGAGAAAAAACATTAAAGTACTAATTTATTACAGAAAAATTCCTGCCGTAATAGATTCATTGGGTATTTTAAACCTTACAGCTTGGCAGAATGATTCCACAGTTTTTGGTTTAACCTCCACAAAGCATTCAGATGTTAACTGTGACTTTCAGAATATTATTCATATTAAACTTAAAAAAAAAAGTTGTACACCACGTTAACAAGTGTTGTACTTCTGTCAAGAATGAAAAGTACCAGCAGATAGACAATATTTAGAATACTATATTCTCGGTTTATGTGAAATTTTATTTATTTAACAAATATAGGTCAATACATTTGGCTAATGCTAACCTTTTAATATTCTTGCTGAAAAGTTTCCAAATAAAATGTTTCAGAGTTTATTTATTTTGTCTCACTGCTATTATGGCAGACATACGAAAAAATAGATCTACCCTGACTAAAGGTAAACATTCATTCACTTAAATTTAGAATAATCAGCCTTTTTTTTTTTTTTTTTTTTTTTTTTGAGACAGAGTCTTGTTCTGTCAACAGGTGCCAGGCTGGAGTGCAGTGGCGCAGTCTCGGCTCACTGCAACCTCCACCTCCTGCGCTCAAGCAATTCACCTGCCTCAGCCTCCCGAGTAGCTAGGACTACAGGCGTGCGCCACCACACCCAGCTAATTTTTTTGTATTTTTAGTAGAGATGGGGTTTCACTATGTTGGCCAGAATGGTCTCGATCTCTTGACCTAGTGATCCGCCCATCTCGGCTCCCAAAGTGCTGGAATTACAGGCGTGAGCCACCGTGCCTGGCCGAATAATCAGCCTTTTAAATGATGGCTCAGAGTAAAACAAATTTGAAGTTGCCTCTAACTGGAACTAAAGCACAGAAGCCTATGACGACAAAATTCTTATGGTTTATATGCCTCACATGTACTTCCCTGAAGCTCATTGTGTAGTGGTTTCAAAAAAAAAAAAAATATTAGAGGAACAGTGCAATTTCCACGATTTCAGGGTATCCAGTAAAAAATACAAATCTTAAGTTACCTTTCAATGGCCCAAATAGTTAAAATATATGGGGCAGGGCCTACTGGGCCTGTCCTGATACAGGCGTATTTGCTACAAATATATAATATCTCTCTCAATTTCTCTTCCCCCTACCTCTCTCTCTCTCCCCCCTCCCCTTCCCCCCCCCACACTCTTTCTCTCTCCCTCTCTCCCCCTGCCCCCCCTTTAAACAGTGTGGGCTAAAAGTCAAAGAGTTTGGCAAAAGGCTTTACTACGTGAATTTCAAAGGACTGTTTCTCACTAGTAACTTTTTTAAATTTGCTAATCCACAAATAAATCTACATAGTATCGATAATTTCCGCATTAGAAGGGGAAGATCTATTCATACTGCATCATTTATGTGTTTTTTCACTTCTTTCACCTCCCTGACCAGCACTGGACAATGACTGCCCAGGATCAGCAGCCAGCAATTAGATTATGGCTGGACTGGGAGTGACTGAGGGCAAGGCTCATCAACTCATGGAGGATGGTTGGCTATGATGGCATATGGCTGACTTGCTATTAAAAAAAAAATGAAGCCAGTGACTATTCAAAATTTGAAACATATCATATCAAATCATATTGCAGAATATTTAAAATAAATAAGCCATCTCAATTGCTGTCTCAAGCTAAATATCTCAGACTTTAAAGTCACTGGGTATTTTCACAGTACATCAACACAAAAATGAATAGACTGTCCTGCAAAACGGAAGATACTAAAATCACCACACAATTAACAGATTCTCCCTGGGGTTCCCTAGATAAAAATGACAATGGCAAAGTGATCAAAAACCTTGAAAGATTAGTGAAAAAATAGAGCAGGACCATATTAAGCAAACCAAAATCTACCAAAGGGAATAAAAAGTAAAAAAGTAATCAAGAAGGAGGCACCATCAACTGGTTGAACTAGGATTTGTTTTCCCTTTTCACCTTCAAACATGTTAAGATATTCCAGGTCCAAGTTAAGAATCTGAAAGCAATTTGAGACTTTTGAAAATATCAGTGATAATTTTAAAATGGACTTTATTATGTCTATTGCCAGTAACAAAAAAGGTATAAATGTGCTATCAGTGGAAACCATAAAAAGAGATGATTTTTCAGTTAAGACAGGTAATTAACCAGTTATTCAGACAGCCAACTTCCAGAAATGCCCAGGTAAGGGCCATTGTGAACTACAAATTTGTACTATTTTGTACTCACCACTTATACTGTTTTGATTACTCATAGTACCCAACTGACCACTGCTTAGAGAAATAAGTGGAAATACAGCAGAGTCAAAAAGATATGCTACTTGTATTAAATGCAATAAAACTTCATATCAAATATTAATGAATTAGAAAACAGTTTTTAAAGAATAACAAAATGTTGAGTCAACTGAGAGGAATGTAACAGTTATATAATAAATGTCTAACGTACTAGACATCTACACTACTAATTAATTACTTTAAATCAGTGGTTTCCATATGCTAAATAATATAAATTTTGTATTTTTATTAAAAATTAATTTTGGTAGCATGATATAATTTCCCTATTCCAAAATCAATGTCTTGTTTTATTTATTTGGTAACTATAGTTTGGAAAATCAGTTCACTACTGTAAAACAGAAAGTCTACTTTATGAGGAATAAGAAACACCTATATAATGTGAGGAACAAGGAAACAACTTGCTCCTGATATGTGCAAGACTACATGGAAGTGGTTATCCACTAAGGGCTGGATTGACGCTAATTACACTTACCAGCAAGTTGAACAAGCTACCTCTTAACCACTAATAAGCAAAGCTTATTAGTGTGTTAAGCTTATTAGATGTGTTCTGATGGCTTGTTGCTACAGTTTCCCCAAATTCTAAACAATTAACTGTTTTAATATAAATGCAAGATGTTAATTCATCTTGCCCATATCCACTACTGCTTCTATGGCCATTAAAAAGACATCCTCAGACATTTTTAGAATGTAAATATAAAAAGAAATATCCCTCATCCTCTTGAATGATAAGACAAATAGGAATGAATATAAAAGACTATAAACTTTTTTTTTTGAGATGGAGTCTTACTCTGTTGCCAGGCTGGAGAGCAGTGGCATGATCTTGGTTCACTGCAACCTCCGCCTCCCGGGTTCAAGTATTCCTCTGCCTCAGCCTCCCAAGTAGCCAGGAGGACTACAGGTTCGCACCACCATGCCTGGCTAATTTTTTTTTATTTTTAGTTGAGATGGGGTTTTACCACGTTGGCCAGGATGGTCTCAATCACCTGACCTCGTGATCCACTCGCCTTGGCCTCCCAAAGTGCTGGGATTACAGGCGTGGGCCACCGCACCCGGCCCATTTTTTAAATGTTTATTATGTATCATGTACTATAATAGAAGGGAGAAAATCTGGAGCTGAACATAACTTTGTTCCTGTGTTTGAGGAGCTCAGTGAGGGAGACAATAAGGTTAAGGAGTGATGAGACCATGTCTCAAGCATAACAACATATGAGAACAAAAAGAAAACATGCCTGCCTGGAGAGGTCACAGAAGGCATTCCTGAACAGCAAACCATCTGCCCTGAGTTTTAATAGGGTGAATAGGAGTTCATCAAGTAAACAAGAAGGGGAAAATATTCTGTGTAATGAGCTAGTACAAGCCAAACACAGAGGTAAAAAAAGAAAATGGCATGATCCAGTCACTTCAAATTATAGACTGAATTTGAAAGGACAGTGCAAAAGCATAGATAAGGGCCAGCAACTAAGGGACCTGTGTCAGGCTAAGTAGCTCTGACTTTGTGTTGTAGATGATGGGAGATGTGGATGAATTTTAAGCAGAGGCATCCCAATATCCAACGTGTGTGTTTTAGAATGATCACTCTAGTGGAACTAGTGAGGAATGTAACCAGAGGGGATGAAACTGTCAGAAAAGCCATATAGTAAGCTACTTAGCAAAAATCTGAAGGTGGGACAGGCAAAATGAGTACTGGCTTGTATCCAAAAAAGGCCTCTGGGGAGCTGTCTACCAATCCATGGATTTCATAGCCTCAGCAGCTCACGAAACCTAGAGGGTAAAAGGAATCCCCCCACTACTGGGGGGACTTCAGGAAAGACCCCATATTTTAACTACTCCCTATAGTCACAAATGAGTAAAACTTTAATCCTGAAACTTGTGCAGGGGTTGGTTACTGAAGCATCAAAATGAGGAAGAATCCAGGCTTACAGAGCTAAGTGTCTCTAACTGAACTCAGCAACTTCAAGTCTTACTTTAGTTAGATATGTAAACTTCAGCATACCATTCTAATAATTCTCAAAGAGTTCCATGTGTCAAGGTCAAGAATGTCAGCAACAGGCACTACTGGGTGGTTGTGCAAAGGCTTCATAAACATCTTTAATGATAATCATAAATGTCTACTTTAGGCTGCTTTACGAAGATAACCAGAGACTGGGAGCTCCTTACAGGCATGTACCATGTACCATTTTTCATTATAGTTGGTATTTCTAATATTTGGCACAAAGTAGGGATGAAATACATATTTGCTAGATAAATGAATAAGTGAATATTAGCAGTATGTTCAAGGATTACTTATTTGGCCAAGAATTATCAAAGTGATACTTTTTTTATTAGGCCAATGATGAAGCACTAATAAATAAAAACTAGTTTAAAAAAATAAACACTGATGGAAAAGAAATTTAATAGGAAAAACCTATTGTTCCCTTCAAATAAGTCTGTGGTTAGCTTAATGATTCATGTTTAGAAGGATAGCAGGAAATAC